TTATAGTCTATGGAATACGTTGCTCTCTCTCACTCAAATGTATTGTCTGAGATTTTGGTGTGTAGAAATGAGAGCCCAAGCTCTCCTTTTATAGGCGGAGCCTCTCTCTCTCACGCCTACAACATTTAACATTTTCCTTCTGCAGCCTACCCTTTTTGACAATGTAGAAGAAAAATGTTTGCTGCCAATTTTGAACAATCAACAAAAGGAAGAAAGTCTTCCTTAATTGATGGGATGGACCCCACAAATCTCCCCCTCCAGTCCCATTCACCTGAAGGAGGTAACACCGGAGATTCTAGTTTGAGCGCATGACGACAAGTTCTTTGCAAAGCTCGAACTTGTATCTTGGTACCACCTTGGTTAACATATCAACATGATTTTCACCCTTGTGAATCTTTTTGGCCTAAAGTGATTCGTTCTCCACTTGCTCACGAATCCAATGATATCTGACGTCGTTGTGTTTTGTTCTCGCATGGTACATGGAGTTTTTGCTTAGGTCTATTTCACTCTGACTGTCGCAATAGACAACATACTCCATTTGTCACAATCCAAGTTCTTGAAGAAATCTCTTGAGCCATATCATCTCTTTGCCAGCTTCAGTAGCCGCAATATACTCCGTTTTAGTTGTAGACAGTGCGACACACTTCTGCAACTTAGACTGCCATGATGTAGCTCCCCCTGAAAAACTAAACAAATATCCAGTAGTGGATTTTCTTTTATCAAGGTCACCTGCCATATCAGAATCTGTATAGCCCTTCGAAATTGGATTTGATCCTCCAAAACATAAGTATTCATGTGAGCTTCCTCTTAGATACCTGAGTATCCACTTTACCGCTTCCCAATGCTCTTTTCCTGGATTTTCGAGAAATCTGCTAACAACACCGACTGCATGAGCAACATCTGGTCGAGTATATACCATTGCATACATCAAACTTTCGACAGTAGAGGAATAAGGAATCTTGGTCATTCTCTCTTTTTCCTCCATTGTTGTAGGACATATCTTCTTGCTCAACTTCAGATGACCAGGAAGGGGTGTGAGAACCAACTTAGCACTTTTCATATTGAAGCGCTCCAGTACACGTTCTATGTACTTCTCCTATGACAAGTAAAGCTTTCTTTCATTTCTCGAACGAGTAATTCTCATGCCCAAAATCTTCTTAGCATGACCCAAGTCTTTCATTGCAAAAGACTTATTCAATTGTTTCTTCAACTCGTCAATCTTGGAAGCATTCCTGCCCACAATCAACATATCATCCACATTTAGCAAGAGGATGATAAAGTCATCATCAGAAAATCTATGTACAAACACACAGTGATCTGAAGAAGTCTTCTTGTAGCCTTGCTCCCCCATAACAGACTCAAACTTCTTGTACCACTGTATGGGAGCTTGCTTCAATCCATATAGACTCTTCTTAAGTTTGCATACAAGATTTTCTTTACCTTTTGCCTTGAAGCCCTCAGGTTGTTCCATATAAATCTCCTCTTCTAAGTCGCCGTGAAGAAAAGCAGTCTTCACATCCATCTGCTCAATCTCCAAATCAAGACTGGCAGTCAAACCAAGAACTATCCGAATGGAGGACATTTTCACAACAGGAAAAAATATTTTGTCAAAGTCAATACCTTCCTTTTGACCAAATCCCTTGACAACCAATCTAGCTTTGTATCTGGGCTTCAAACTATGTTCTTCAGCTTTAACTTTGAACACCCACTTATTCTTCAAAGCTCTCATGCCCTTAGGCAATTTCACCAACTCATAAGTATGGCTCTTATGCAGAGATTTCATCTCATCTTGCATGGTTTCAATCCATTGATCCTTGTGCTCATCTTCTATGGCCTCCGCATAACATTCAGTTTCTCCCCCATCAGTGAGTAATACATACTCATTGGGCGAATAACGGGAGGAAGGACTACGAGGTCTAGAAGACCTCCTGAGTGGAATATCTAACTCGTCCACAGCTTCGTGAGTAGGAGCATCTACCTCATCAACATTAGCATTGTTATCACCATCACCATCAATATGCTGATCTGGAATATGGTTCTGGGCATCACCATCATCATTGATCCCACCAACGTCATCCGTATTTGTATGAGGAACTTGATCAAGATTAACTAAACCTTCAGAACTTGGAGATTTTAGCTTCTCCGCTTTGTTAATATCTTCAATGGTTTGATCCTCCACGAAGATAACATCATGACTTCTCACGACCTTCTTCTCAATTGGATCATATAGCCTGTAACCAAACTCATCAAGGCCATAACCAATGAAGATGCACTGCCTTGTCTTGGCATTTAATTTTGACCTCTCATCTTTAGGCACATGTACAAAAGCTTTGCAACCAAACACTTTCAAGTAGTCATAGGAAACATCCTTGCCATACCAAACTCTGTTTGGAACATCACTTTGCAAAGCAACCGTAGGGGATAGATTATTAACATGTGCGGCGGTCAACAAAGCCTCACCCCAAAAGGAATTCGGCAACTTTGCTTCAGAAAGCAAACATCTGACTCTTTCCATCAAGGTCTTGTTCATCCTTTCTGCTAAACCATTAAGCTGAGGAGTCTTAGGAGGAGTCTTCTGGTGTCTGATACCATGTTGCTTGCAGTATTCGTCAAACAGTCCACAATATTTACCATCGTTATCAGTACGAATACAATTTAGCTTCTTTCCAGTTTCTCTTTCACCCGAAGCCTGAAACTGCATAAAGACACCCAACACTTGGTCTTTAGTCGTCAAGATATAGACCCAAAGTTTCCTTGAGCAATCATCAATAAAGGTAGCAAAATAAAGTGCACCACCCAAAGTCCTTGTCTTCATTGGACCACATAAATCTGAATGCACCAACTCAAGAAACTCTGTCTTTCTTGAAGGAGGATGAGACTGGAAAGAAACTTTTTTTTGTTTTCCAGCCAAGCAGTGCTCACATTTTTCTAATTTTGCACTTTCAAAATTTGATAACAATTTCTTCTTGGCCAGAACATTTAGTACTTTCTTGCTAATGTGGCTAAGCCTCTTATGCCATAACGTTGAAGAGTTATTGCTCTCAACGGCATTCACCATATCAACACAGGTAGAGGTCGTAGTCCAGTATAGACCACGACGTTTTTCCCCACGAGCCACAATCATGGAACCCTTAGTGAGCTTCAACTTTCCAGCACCATTGGTACTGACATATCCCTCATCATCCAAAACACCAACAGAGATCAAGTGCAAACGAACATCAGGTGCATGTTTTACATTGTTTAAAACTAGTTTAGTTCCAATACTAGTTTCCAAACAAATCGTTCCAACACTATCCACCCTAGATACAGTCTCATTACCCATACTCAAAGTTCCAAAGTCACCCTGAGTATAAGATGAGAAAAATTCCTTCCTTAATGTCACATGAGATGCGGCACCACTGTCCACAACCCAGCTTGACTCATCACAAGCAATATTTATCAGATCCGCATCAAGGACAGTAACAAGATCTTCTGTAGTGACGGTGGCCACACGATTGCCATCTTCTTTCTGTTCTTCCTTGTCTCTATTATCCTTTTTTAAAATCCGGCAGAACTTCTCTGTGTGCCCTTTCTTCCCGCAATGATAGCACTCAATATCTTTAAGTCTGCTTCTGGATTTGCTTCTATTATGTTCTCTATTTTGAGAACCCGATTCTTACTTCTCCCCCTAGAGTCAGTCACTAAGACACCTGATGAGGAGGAACCCTGAGATTTTCTTCTCATCTCTTCATTTAAAAGGCTGCTCTTGGCAAGATCCATAGAGATCACACCATCCGGAGCAGAATTTAATAAATGAAGTTCTAAGAACTTCCCAAGAATCTGGTAGGGAACCAAGTAGAAACAAGCCTTGAATTTCTTCATCAAATTTAATGCCCATAGCAGATAACTGGTTCATGATCCTCTCAAAATTATTCAGATGATATGTCATCGCGAAACCAACATGGTATTTTAAACCCAACATCTGCTTTATCAGAAACATCTTGTTGTTTCCAGTTTTGCGAGCATACAAACTTTCAAGGTGCTCCCATAGGGTCCGAGCATGTGTCTCCCCAGAAATATGGTTCAAAATATTATCGTCAACCCACTGTCTAATAAAGCCGCAAACCTACCTGTGTAACAAATTCCACTCTTCATCTAATTTATTATCAGGCTTTATAGTGGTGAAGGCAGGTTGATGAAAATTCTTGACATAGAGCAAATCTTCCATTTTGCCCTTCCAAATGGCTTAATTTGTGCCATTAAAAGTAACCATTCTACAGTGTTGGCTTCCATCGTTTATCACAAATACAAATACTATTTATTAGGAGACCAAAGTAATTCTTTTCTGATGCGGAAGTTCAGACTGTACTGCAACCACAGAGCATACTCAGATAGAACCTTGGCTCTGATACCACTTGTTGGGAATAAACCCTGTAAAAATAATATTCACGGTATTAGTGATAAACACGGAACACTAAGTTATGGTTAAATCAGCAAGAATAGAAATGCAGCAATAATGACACCAAGATTTTACGTGGAAACCCTTCTGAATAAAGGAAAAAACCACGGCCAAGAAGGGCAACTGATATCACTATAGCGAGGAATTTTACGCTGTGTAGTAACGAGTACAAATACTCCTAAGACCACTACACCCTCAAAAGAAAAACCATTCTTTTGCTTTTTCTACCTCACTATAATATCTCTCACACTCTTTTTTTCACAGACTATTTTCTTATAGTCTATGGAATACCTTGCTCTCTCTCATTCGGATGTATTGTCTGAGATTTTGGTGTGTAGAAATGAGTGCCGAAGCTCTCCATTTATAGGCGGAGCCTCTCTCTCACGCCTACTACATTTAACATTTTCCTTCTGCAGCCTATCCTTTTTGACAATGCAGAAGAAAAATGTTTGCTGCCAATTTTGAACAATCAACAAAAGGAAGAAAGTCTTCCTTAATTGATGGGATGGACCCCAGACATTGAAGTATATAAGAAAGTAATCAAAGAGGACAATGCAGTATTAACACCCATAAAAGATGCATTTCGCTTGGTCTTACTGTGCCTTCCAGTATATAAGAAATTAATCTGACTACAGCATCTCAACTTGAAGGTTTAGAAACTAAGATTCGGAATGGAAGTTACATAATGTGTTCTCCTGTGTAGCAGTATTGGAGGCAAGGAAGATATAATGGCAAGGTACACATGGCCAAGTTCTCCGCAAACAGTTTCATCACCTTGTACCACGATAACATAGTACCAACCGCAAAGATTCAGCCGCAATCTACTGTATGTATTACATACATGCAAATATGTAGGGTATTTTAGGGTTATAGTTACAACTCAATAAATCTACTTCTATCTCCTTTCACAGATAAAACTCTCTCGCATCGGAGGTAAAATGTTGCTACCGGCTACTGACCAAGAACTCTATGAAACCATTATGTTCCCATTGCGGGCAATAATACAGAATCGGTGTAAGGAGAATTCATTGGGCAAGTTGCAATAAACGTGTGATGTTAATACTCAGGTATCACAATTTGAACTCCAAGCTCGCTAATATCCGTTAATGTAACATCTTCAAGTCCAAATGTTTTATTCTCTCATTCACTTTAAGCAAATCAAATAACACACAAAATTTGCATATCTGGGCCTTCTTTGATTTACAATTGCAGATTGCAGTGGAACAGTTGTTGCAACCTTATCAAGCCAATTAGGAAAAAAATTTCTTGAAATTACCTCTGCAGAAATGTATGAAATAATCTCTGTAAAGGTATGTTAATGAGAATAAGAGACTGTTAGTCATTTCTGAGCATTTATTGTACATTAGAAAAACAATCTACCCTTGTTGAGATGCCATTGAGATAAAAAAGCTTGAAATAGTCTCGGCTAAAGAGCTTTCACAACCCATGGTGTCATTGTTTAGGTTTCCTTGGTTTACCACCAAATGCAAACTTGTTTCGGGCCAGAGGTGCACCTTTAAGTTATAACTCAGTAAACATACAAAAGAGCTATTGTGCTCACGTAAAGTCTATTTCTACTGAAACTGACAATAAATAGAAAAATCCCAACATACATACTCTCAATCAACATGTGCACATACAACAGAGAGAAAGAAAGGACCTAATAGCATCAGAAGAAGATAATTGTCACATAGTTCAGTTGACTAAATTCTTTTCTAAATTAGCCAATATACATTGCTGGTTGCCCTGCAGTTTTGAGGTGAGAAATAATAATTCAGGTCAAGAAAATGTTACTGTTGATAAGATATTAGAACCATGAAATCTAAAAATATTCAGCTTGGTTTTGCTTTGTATGTTCGTTTTGTATATTTAGATGTGCAAATGAAATAGAGTTTATCAAACTAATTCAATCTCTTAAAAAATTTTAGAAATATTGTGGAAAAACAAACTTGATGTTGCAGACGATATTGCTACCCAAATGGGTGAGTTTAATAAGACACTAATTTTACATCACGGACCAAACTTCATGTACATTTTAAGCTTCTCACAAGATCTCTCCAATGAGCCGATCGATGGGGACGATACCTCAAATAAAAAAAGCTTCAGAATGATTACCTGAAACTCATACATTTCAATTTCATAGATTAATCATACGACATACTAAAAGTTATCAGGTTCGGGCCCGGGCTAAGCACGAGCCATTCCTCACTAGTATATGTATATTCATTAAATCTTGTGTCCAATGTAACGCCTATTGCCTTTTGTTTAAAAGAACGTAAAGCTGCTACAAAATCAGATTCATCCAATTGAGGAAACAAAGTTATCCACAAAGATGAATTCACCATTAAGACAATTGTGCATTTATCCACTAACAATCACCAAAACACCAAATGATAAAAAGACAATCATATATAAAATAATACTCCCTCCGGTCCAAAATAAGTGATTTTTTGGCCTTTTTTTTGTGGTCCAAAATAAGTGATTTTTCCAAATTTCAAGAATTAATTAATTATTTTTTTCCTACATTGCCCTTGGAGTAAATAGTGTTGGAGTATGTGTTAGGAGTGTTTATGTGAAGAGATAGTAAAGGTTAACATGGTCAATTTCATTACTAATTAATGTTAAAAGGTATATTTCTTAATCCGTGTGAAAACATCTAAAAAAATCACTTATTTTGGACCGGAAGGAGTAATAATCAACAAAATAAGCATGCAATAAAATCATAGCAAGTCCATTAGATAAAGTTTCACGATCGATGAATGTATATATGTTGATTTAATCTTCTTCTTCCCTTTTAACCTTCACTCGAGAATCTCTGGGTCTGATCATAGAGGATGTGACGGTCTTCACATAGACTCCAATACTCTCAATCCGACTACCAATTTTGGTGCCGTGAAATCCACCAAAAGAACGATCATCGCCTATTTCAAACTTGAACTCTCTGACAACGCTTCCTGATGGATTCATCCTAATGCTGCCATATGGTCCATAGGAACCTTTGTTGGTGCCAAATATTATTGATCTCAAATTAGTTGATGCATACCTTGGTCCATAGGAACGTTTGTTGGTGCCAAATATTATTGATCTCAAATTAGTTGATGAATACCTTATGGTATTCAAATAAGTTGTTTCGCAGGAGCCTTCTATCCAAGTAAGATATTCCGATGGATAATCCAAGACAACCTTCAGTAATCGAAATACGGACGCTGCAAATTCATTAGTGATCCTATTTACAAATTGCATAGACTTAAATCGTAAATGTGTCTCCGATTAATGTGTTCTTGATTTATAGCTTGTTTAACCAAGCCTCTCCAAGCCAAAAGCACTTCTTATTTAAAAATAAAAAATAAAAAAAAAAAGACTTTTTTCAAAGTTAAAATGTTTGGCCAAGCTTCTAGAGGAAAAAAGTGCTTTTGAGTAGAAGCTGAAAAAAATAATTCTCTCCAAAAGCACTTTTTTGAAAAGCATTTCTTTTGGGCAAAAATACACTTGGTCAAACATTAATTATTGCTCAGAATTATTTTTCAAATAAATTAACCAAATACAATCACTTTTGAAAAAAATCACTTCTCAAAATAAGCTGATTTTTGCATCTTGGCCAAACAGGCTATTAGTTTGTTTGATTAACATCTACCAAGTTCTTCCATTTGAAGAGGGAGGAAAAAAAATGTTCTCTTACCGTAGTGAAGTTTTCGTTGTGTGCAGTACCATATCTATCAGACAAAACAAAGTTGTCATTCTCAACGAACAAGAATTGAAGAACTTTTAACTTCAACATTGGTATTGGTCTTTTAATATAGAAAAATAAGAATCTGACTTTTCGTTTAACTCAATCTTATCTAGCCAGCTTTTATTGTGCTATGCTATTGGAAGAATTAAAAAAACAATACAGAAACAGAGAAACACTGAACTTTTTCTTAAAACCTCTCGTCTTCTTCTCACATCGAACAATGGTACAAATTGAAATCTTGATATCAACAATTCCTACTACGTTAAAATATACTATATCAAAATCAAAGTTTAAAATTTGAAAAGTGTAACCAACATAAAGAAGCTGAGCACAAACTACGATTTTTTATTCCATAGGAAATTACAAACATCAATAATAAAAGTTCCTTTTCATACATTTGATTCATAGAATTCACAAAGTACCGATTGTTGCCAAATGGCAGCTCGGTGTACAATTCATCTCGCGTTCACGAAGGGTCCGGAAAAGAACCATACCCCAAGATGTAGACAGCCTACTCTAATGCAATCATAGGTCACACGGAGACAATTTTACCCTTGCTCGACGGCTCGCTTTCAACAACTGATTGTTACCCTTTCATTAAATTTTGTTTCCACCATAACTCCTTTGCCTTCGCTGAAAAGAACGCAAAGCAGCTACAAAATCAGCTTCATCCAATTCAGGAAACAACTTATCCACAAAGCAGAATTCACTATAAGCCAATTGCCACAACATGTAATTGCTAATTCTCAGCTCTCCACTAGTTCTGATGAGTAAATCAGGATTAGGATATTCCAAATACTTCGTCTCTAATTCTTGGTCGATTAATTTGTCATTGATTTCCTCTAGTTGAATAACTCCATCCTTAACTTTGGTAGCAATCTTTTTAGTTGCTTGTGTTATGTCATATCTTCCACCATAGTTAAGTGCAGCCACAAAATGAAGTCCTGTGTTGTCCTTTGTGGTTTCTTCAGCTATGTTTATTGCTTCTTTCAGAGAATTGGGAAGGTTGGACTTATCACCAATAATGGACATTTTCATCCCGTACCTAAAAACATTAAAATAAGTACAAAGTGCAATACCTCTGAAAATTTTGTAAAGGGAAACAAGTGAATATAATAAGAAAGTAGTAAAAGAATTGTAAATTCAGGACCATTGCAATAATGAGTAAGGTGAGGCAGGGCGAAGAAGTATTGAGTAGAGGTGATTAGATAAGATATGGCGTTGCTCCAGCTCACTGAGGACATGACCATAAATAGGAAGGTGCGGAGGTTGAGAATAAAGGTAAAGGGTTAGATGGTCGAATGTTGTCCCTGTTTGTAGCAGTAGCTTTGACATACGACTTGGTGCCTTCCATGTTTTTTTTTCGTACCTCTGGTTTTCTGTTACTACTTGTTGTTGTCTTGTGTTTCGGTTTTCTGATTGCATTACCTTTTGCTAGTTTTGCATTTTTGCTTTGGTTGTCAGATCGGTTTGCTTGTTATTGCCCCTTCGACCACTCCGTTTCTGAACCAAGGGTCTTCCGAAAATAACCCCTCAGCCTTATCAAAGGCAGCGGAAAAGGCAGGGTAAGGTCTGTGTACACTCTACTCTCCCCAGTCCCCATTTGTGGCACAATACTGGGTATGTTAGTGTTGTTGTTGCAATAATGAATAAAATAATTAAAACAAAAACCCATATACAAGAAGATTTTAATAGTTGATTTTCAGTTAAAAGTAGTACCTCATGAAGTCGTGAATAAGCCCTTCAAAATAGCTCGTCATCAAGAAAGTTACCTCTGCCTGCCCAGTATATAATTGCAGAAATGTGTGAAAAAATCTGAAATTTTGAATGCACTTTGACAAATTTATCTTAAATTCCATTAACCTATAAGGGCTTATGGTGAAATTTTTTGTGTAAATATTACTTAAAATATTTTTTGAAACAGTTCATGTTTATCAATGTCTGCAGATTGCAGCTTGTTCATATACTTCAAATACAAAAAATAATTATCACGGAATAAGAAAATGTAATTGGACAATCATATCTAATCAAACCAAATTAAATAAGCCTTAAATTGGAATTCTTTATCAGTGAAAATTTTGCACCAATAATATGAGTTGATTAACTATCTGAATTTTTACATGATTCACTCCCAATTAATTCTCACATTGTAATTTCCTCTTCCCTAGTTCTCTTCGCCAATGTATAATTAAAAAATTAAAAAGAAAAATTAACTAAATACTCGTACTTACCTTGGGCCTTGACCAATTCTCAGTAGAAAAAGCATAAGCAGAAAGAACTTTGACTCCCCATTTCGAACAATAACGGCACAAATCTCCGAGCACTTTTTTCCCAGCTTCATGACCTTTTTCCGGCGACAAACCTCTCTCCTTAGCCCATCTCCGATTACCGTCCGGTATAATTGCCACGTGTTTCGGCATCAGCTCCGGCTGCAATCCTTCTCTCAATAGCTCCTCTTTTGATACTACTCCAAATGGAAGCTTACAAAATTGGCGTCGAAACATTAATATGGTATTAGATAAGGGCATTATTGGGTTTTTAAGTAAAGACGGAGATTCGATGTCTCCGGTGACCCGGAGAAGTAGGTAGCGGCGGAGCTGCGGTGGAAGAGTGGTGGTTTTGGATCGGAGATATTTGGGCAGTAAGGAACACATGCTGCTGCAATGTATTTTGGTTTTTCTTTTTGGAAATATTCAAACTAAAATGTTGTAAGCTATATATGTATCTTATTAATTATAGCAGCTTGCCTCATTAAAAATATTTTTGTGCAAGCAATTAGGCCAATTTTGTTACGAA